ATTTTACAGATACTTTCACCTCAAAAAACACAGATTAATAAGAGGCTTTATCATCTTTCTAGTTCTGAAGAACTATTGGGATACAAGCTGCTCCTCACCATTTATGGAGAGACTGCTCTTGTCAACTGTGAAATAGGAGCTGTGTTCAAAGGCATCACGAAAAGTGGTGTTGATGTAGTAGATATCCACATCTTCTGCGATCAGTAAATTGAAACTTACCACTGTGCTCCCATTAGTAATACCCATTACCAACACTTTAATCAGACCAGCATCCATCTGCTGAAGAACCTCAAGGGGCAGAGATTTATGTACCTGGAATGAAACAAAATGCATGTGGAGGTAGACAGATAGAAGCAATTACATTTTAGTCTTTGTACACTACCCAGAAGAGAGTATTATGCATTAAAATTGTGCTTCATACTCTGGAGAGAGGCAGCAGAAAATTGACTTTTTGCTTTACAACGTTTCCACTCTACAGCAGCTGAAAGATATGGTATATATTTAACTGTGAATGTTAAACAAGCTAAGCAACTAAAATACCTCATCTGTCATTTGACACAGGTCCTTGCCTCTGGTAGCGGCAAGGGAGGGAGGAGACTGCAGGGAAGCTACCATGTTCTACCTCTCAAAATGCCTCTGCGGAGAGGGGGCAACACAATATGAAGAGGAGCTGCTGATGGAAGTGGAGAAGCCTCCTGACACTCCACGCTGCATATATATCCTAGAGAGCTCCCTCGGATCAGGTATGTTATAGCTTAGAGCAGACCACTCTCAAGTGTTTCTTCACAGGTGATTTCTCATCAGAGCCAAGTAAATCAGCAAAATTCTCCTGCTTATCTTCAGTGTAACCCTGCCTCTTTTTAAATGCCTAGACCAGAGTAAAGAAAACCAAAAGGTGTTTCATGCCATCAGCATCGCCACACAACTCAACCTCCCATCAAGTCAGTCCTCAAGTTGATTTCAGAAATATTTCATTAAAACCTTCCCTGAGGAGTATCATATTATTTCTGCAAATTCTGACTGTTATCGGGACACACAGCCCTGACTCACAGTCCTCCCCCAAGAGTCCAAGGGCAGGGCAAGGAAATGGCTCTGCAATATTTTGAATGGGAACAGTCACCCTCAAAGTATTGCCAGACCAAATCACAGCTGAACTTAGGGCAGTCTAGAGAAATCAATAAAATAAACATTCCATGACCTTGGACTTCAATACCTGACTAAGAAAGAAAATGCCATCTTTTTCAAAGCACACTGAGCCTTATTCACAATAGCCCCTGAAGCAGCCTCCTTTACTACACTGGAGAGCGGAATAATCCGCTTCCTGTGGAATAGGAAAACACAGCCCTGTGTGAGCCTTTGCATCAGGTGGGCTGCTCAGCCTCTCTGCCATCCACCTCAGATGGAGGTGCCAACACATCTCAAAGAGATAAATAGACTGAAGTTGTAGGTTTGACCTCTTCCCTTTCCACCCTCCAAGGCTGAGCAGGACCTCTGGAGAGCCGCTGCCCATGGGAACACCTCCTCCCACAGGAAGTTAGTCCATGGGGCAGGGCATCTGAACACAGGCAGGAGCCTGGTGGGGACATTCAACAGTTTTTGCATTTCCAGCACTTTTCCCCTTCATCCCCAGGCCCAGCACCAGCCACAGAAGGAGCAGATGCACGCCAAATGGCATCATCTCACGGGACCAACCCTGGACAAGATACAAGGCTAATATTAATTCAGCTTTAAAGAACATGAAGAGAAAACATTATACACAGAAATACAGACCTATTTCTGAGAAACTCACCACAAAGAGAAACTGGGAAACATCCTCAAGGGCTTCCCTCAGTCCTTGTCCTTTAGCCGCCCAGACAAGGGGCCCGATAAGACTGCACTGGACTCCCTGCCTGCCTGCGTGTCCCAGGGGAAAGTGGGGCACACACACACACAAACACACACACGCAGAGGTTTGCATGCCAAGTTTTGTTTGCCCCAACATCTAACCCAATGCAGGCAGAGCCCACACCTGAAGACTTGATGCCAGGGTAAGTACAGGCTGTGCCATACCATCCATCAATATACTCAATTTTCCCATTACAATTGTATATTTTCTTCTCTCCCTTTCTCCAGGAGATGCTCACAGATCCTCTGTGCTTCTTAGAATCTTTCACGTATGTCTGGGAGAGTCTTTTTAAATTCTTCCTCACAATAAAAAGTGCGGCAACATGAAGTGTGGGACATCATAACTTTCAAACCTGCACCAGGGAGGCAGTACAGCCTGTTCTGAGATCTTTGTATTAAAATTGCACTTGGATACTGCCAACAAAAGTCCAGTGGGAAACTGTTCATGGTAAGAGAGCAGCTCCCAGCAGCATACAAAGGACAAATCCCATGCCGTACTTGTCAACCCTTCTGAGGCTGGGATACACACAACTTCCTTCTACATAGCAGCCACTAGCTTCAACGAAGGACACAGAGAGATGGAAATAGCCACCGAAACACCTAAATTTTTGTGATTTCTCAGCATACTTGCTCTTTGCCTTTGCCCTCCCGTGGCTGCCATGCTCCCAGGAGATGCCAGCAGAGACGTAGGCACAGGGCAGGAGAGCAACCACACTATAAGGGCCAGGTGAGCAGCAGTTGGCCTGGGTGAGAGCTGGCACATCGCTGCACTGCACAGGAGAGTCGCACCTCTCTCCCAGCACCTTGCTCTGCTTTAGACCCTCTCTTTAGGGTACATGGCTCTCTTCCTTCCGTAGCTCAACTTTCCAGAGAATTAAGGGGGCAGGCAGGGTCTATGTTGTGGTCACCTCCAACCCCTTCTTCCTCTACACATGTCCTGCAGGAAATATCTGGAGCAGCAGGGCTGGATTTCAGCCATGAGTTTAAGGCAGAGCTTATGTCAGTGGTGTAATGTTCAAGGGTGCAGGCAGTGACTCCTACTAGGGAAAGCCCAGGGAAGAGGCGGGGGGGGGGAGCCGATGGGAGAAGCCAATGGGAGAAGAATGGGTACATTTCTCTTGTACCCAGGCACAGAGCTCATGCATTTTGTGCTGTATTCTCCCAGGTGATCACAGCTTTTGCACACCTACATGCCAAGCCTGACTTACCTGCCTGCTGTGTGTTATCCAGCCCCTACTCACTTGCCCCCTACGTGTTAAATGGGCTCAGTGGCAAGATAACACATATGGAGCAACCCCCCTGCTTGCACCTGGAAAAGGCTCCCATGTGCCTGGAAGTCGCACACAGCAAACCTTGCAGTGCCCAACAGGGCACGCAGGTACAGCCAGGAGGGTGGAAAGTTCCCTACGAAAGCCTGGGCAAACTATAGGCTGTCCTCCTCAGCTCCAAAATCTCCTGTTTCACCAAGCCAGGTGGCTCTTGTGCCCCTTCTCCTCTCTCTTTCTGCTGTTTCACAAGCATGTACCAACAAGTTGGAGGTCAGTCCTAAGTTTTCATCTTTCATAGCTTTTGTTTGTCTGAACTTCTGGACACCCGTGACAACCTTTTAGGCCATCCCCAATATCACATGTATTCCCTTCGCATCCGTCCTGAAGATTTTATTTTATTGGTGCTTCTTTTTACCTAAGGCTTGAGAATTCTTTTTTTTTTTGTCGGTTTGTTTGGTTGGTTTCTGTACTTATTCATATTTTTCCTCACAAAGCAGGACTCGAGCTTGAAAAGTGGCAGGGGGCCATTCACAGTATTGGTATTTAGCCACTAGGTGACACTATAAAACCCTTTATCCAGAAGGCTACATGATTTCACAACAGGTACCACACCCCAGGTTATCAAAATAATGGTTGATGAAGTGGGGCTGGAAAAAAAAAGGAAAAGAAAGAGTGAACTTCTTAGAAGGAAATATTCAATATATAATACCCTTCAGTATGAGGGGTATTTATTTATCTAGTATTCTTACTAGATAAATAAATTATCTTGGGGTCCGTCATCGTATCTACAATTTCTGTAGCACACAAAGGAAACACTAGCAATGTCAGACCACGAGCAATCAGTATGCCAGAAGAGCGACAAAAACAGAAGAGAGCATGACCAAAATTAAAACCAGCATCAAGGGAAGCGAATGTCTCTTGCTCAGGGAAGAAAAACAGGAGTCAGATGAAGTCCAAGTTCAGGGCCAGATGGAAGCCACACTAAAACTGATTTAACAGGATGGGAAAGGCCAATAGGTTTTTTGAGCAAAAGGAAAGCAGCAGGCTCAGGCAGCCAGGCTCACCCCATGGGTGGCTGTGGCGTGTTCGGTGGTTTTTCTGGGACCACCCATCCATAGGTCCCAAGCAAAATGTCAGCAGCTTGTTGGAACTATTGTGGGTACCTGCACAGGAGCCTGTGTGGCTGGCAGAGCAGGGAACATACTGGCAGTCTGGAAACTGGAAGTAAGTAAAAGGTACATTTAACTTGAACAGAACGCTGCATGAAGCCTGTTTTTTCACTTAAAGAGAAAAAAAATGCTGCCCACTGTCTGTGCTTTGGCTGCACCTTCAGAGAGAAGGTACTGGAGTGCACATCCGTCCAGCAGCTTTAAGGATGTTCCAAACTGGGGATAAACTCGAATTAACAAAAGGGGTGAAATTACACTGGAATAATGAAACTGCCTTAATCCCTGTATCAACACTCCTTCCACATTCAGACACTTTAACCGCAGTCATTTTAAGTGCATTAAGCTACATCAAACAAAGGCTATGTCACTTCCTAATGAGAGAGTCATCTTGATAAGGCAATACCATTTATTAGTTTCACACTTTTTCCCTATCGGTTAAGTTTGAGACATCCAAATTCAAAACAACCTTTTCCACTGAGGAATTTAATGCACCTTAGTGAATGCACTTTCAATTCTAACTTTTTGTTTTCCTGATTCATTCAGCCCTAGCTGCCATGATATTCTTCTTGGCTGTTGCAAAAGGCAGGCTGAGCAAAACCCAAGATTAAAATACTCTCTCGGCCTTAGCTATGTTGTTTTTCAGTTGCCTTGCAAGGAGGACAGTGAAACTAGCCTGGACAATAACAGTGCAAGTTGTCACATCAAGTTTTTGCCTCAGTCTCATCTAGACATTATTTAAAGGGCAGTATTTCCATTTGCTGTGCTGCCAGTTTAACCACATGGCACTTAAGTGCTGGAGCAGCTCTATGCTGAAGAACATCACACGCATTAGGATTTATAAATCCTCTGAATTGTAGATGGTGACTCCAAAGAGGTTTAAAAAAAATGTCTGGCAAAGGTTATTTAACTGGAACCTGATAGTGCTTTTAAAGCCTGTGAAATTTTCCTCATTTACTTTAAAGGATCAATTCCTGGACCTTATAACTTGAAAACAAAATAGGCAGATCTTTTTGTTTTCCTAAACTTCCTTTTCTTTGGCATCTAGAAACACAACATTCGTAATAAAACACTCGCAACATATTTTGCCATGTACAGTAGCTATGATACTATAGCCTATATATGGTGGCTCAGAGGTAGATGGAATGAACACTTACACATCTCGCCAGCTGGTCCACGAAACCAGTGTGCTGAAAAAAGGAGTTAGTCCCTTATAACCACAAGTGATAATTTTCTGCTTGAAACTTTGAGAACTGGGTAAAACTGATATAAAAAACATACTTTAGTTCCTTTATGTAATCATTTTACAAATTTTCCAAAAGTATTTTTATCAATTGTTTTCTGGATTAAGGTATCTGACTGAATAACCCATACAGAAAATATATTCGTTTTAGTCCATTTTAATACTATGCTATTCCAAAATAGCCTTGGGCAGAGAGTGATGCTGAATGAGAGTGAGGTCACTGGAGAATTGTTCCGTTTTCACTTTGCTAATCACGTCGCTCTCATTCTGTGACTGTTTTTCTGATGCGACAGCTTGCGACCGAAACAGCCCCAAGAAAGCTGTGCTCCACTAACACATCCAGAAAGGTGCAAACTGGTAACGACCAGTGGGAAACCGATTTGATATCCAAGAAAACATCATGCACAGCTAAATGGATCATGCTTTTCCCTCCTTACAGTCGTCTCTAACTCCACACTGGCCTGACCTCTGCCCGAACACACGTTGCTGTCAGTGCACCCACTGTGGACAGCTGTACTTCAGTGACAGGTTGTAGCTCTGGACACAGCGAGAGTTTGGGGAGGCCGCTGCAGGATTTGAAAATTCATACGACTGTCAGCGAAGGATTTATCATCACAGTTATCAAGGCCTCTAAAAACACAAACAGTTAAGGGGAGATAAGGAAGGCAATAAAGCAGCCCAGCATAAACAGTGGTTCCCCAAGCACAGGTGCGTTTGAGTAAACACCAGCAGGCACAAACTTCCAATAAATTCACTAAGAAATTAGGAGAGTAATACTGTCAAAGGCAGTGCCTGAGAATTATGAGAACATTAAAGGCACAGTTGATATTGCAGTGTGCTTTGATACCTTGTGCTCTAACTAGAAGTGAGGGCAGAGGTGATATCAACAAACCACTCCCTTTCCAGATACGGAGCTACAAAATCAAGGATGATTATAAGAAATGTGAGCTTTAAGGTAAAATGACAAAGGGTAATAACAATCATACAGTTCATTAATATACTGCTGTGCAGGGCAAGGATATCAGAGCACTTTCCAAATATCCATTAACTTTTCACCACATCCCTGGAGGAAATCAATAAGCCCGTATAAGTGGATACAAGAAGCAGAGGAAACAGAGGCACCAGAGAATCTCCAAAACCTGATCTCACTCTAAAACACTGCTGCATGCTCATCCTGCAGTCTCAGACATTCAGGGGGACTCAGACCTTACAGGTGTATCAAGGGACGCACATGTGGCATACAGCCTTCATGAGAAAAAAAATCATACAAGTGGGTTCATTGGGACGGGTAACAGGTCACGTCCTTCTTAGCCACTTACTTCATTAACGAAGAGCTGTGCAAAGGTTTGGTATTCCTCGCTGCTTGTATTGCTAAAGCCCAGAGAGTATTCCACATTTGTTATCCGCACCATGCCACTAAGTTTCCGGACAGCTGCAAAGCAAGAAGAAGACAATTTTAATTATTGCTCCATGGACTGTAGTCCGTGGACAAGTGTGTGACAGTCGCTGGCACGCCTGGCCACACGGGGTATGTGTCAACTTGTAACAGTGGAAGACCAGCCCTCTGAAATGTAGCTGAAACCCCAAATGCCTAAACACAAGCATCCAGCACCTTAGTCTGCCCTGTCTGGCCCCTGGATGCCTCTCAGGAAGGGCACTGACCTTCTGCACGTCTTGTATCTGCCAGCTCTGTCTGTGAGAGGCTGCTTTCCTCCCTACACACATCTGTCCTGATTTCAGCAGTATATAAGGCACCAAGTTCCAGCTCTGAGACTGTCAGACTCGTGCTGAATTTTGGTCTCCCATATTAGTTGTTTTTTATGAAGCAGCAAGAATTGAAAAGCAGGGCTCTGCACAACCCCTGTGGATCACATTACATTAAAGTTAGTTGTAGTCACACTGGGGACAACAATCCTTGGAGCTGGGACAGGTACTAGAGAAAAATAAATAGTTGTCAAGTAAAGCTTTGCAGGGCAGAGGAGGAAGCCATGCCTGCTTAAAGAAAGCCTCTGAAGCAGGCTTCCTTTATCTCAGCATACTTCTGATCCCAAAGGAACCCTCAACACCACCGGTCAGATCAAAGGTTTTGGGCTTGCTTTTTGCCATGGCTCGTCCTGTCACGTGAACATAGGTATTTAGGAGATAAAAACATTCTAATGGTGAGAGAGGAAAACGTTCTGAGCAATTTTCGAATTGAAAAAAAAAAATAAAAATCAGTATTTAAAGACATGACAGACTACGCAGATTTGGCTGAGGTGGACCCTCCAGGCCAGAGACGTTGCCACAAGGAGGAGCTCTACATTAAACTACACCAAACATGGATTTTTGCCCTCTAAATTTCCTATCTCAGGCTGGTGAGATACTACTATGTTGGCTCTTCCTCTTGTTCCCCAGGCATAATCTCTTCACAGGCTTCTTTCCTAGCAAAAGGAGTTGGCTGAATTTTCGATTCATCAGGAAAAGAAGTTTTTATAAACTGAACTTGTGTGTGTAGAATTCTTTGATTTGTTCTCCAGCTGGAAGAAAATGACCTTCGTTTTTTGTCAGTTAAAATTAGTTATTTCGATATTTAAAAAAAAAAAAAAATTTTTTGTTTTCATTTTGAAAAAACACAGCACATTTTTTTTGCTCTTCCCTACATTGAAAGAGGGCAGGGGGAACACAAAACAAAGCAATAAATAGAGCTTTTCAATGTCAACATGTTGTTCAGTTCAAAATTATTTGATTCTTCCATTTGGCCTCCTAAGTCCCAAATCAGCAATTTGCCCAGCTCTGTTCCCAGGTCTCACCAATGCCAGGCAGAATGAAGGGTACAACATGAAGTAGAAAGAAGCAAAGCAGAGGCATCAGCATGGCTGCCCAGAGCTTAACAGGACTGGAGAAGTGGACACTGTGGCACTGGCAATCAGGACTGGTTGTACAAGAGAGACTGGAGAAGCAGCAGAGCTGGCCTTAGGTGGCTGAAAAAGAAGTTTTCCAGGGAGAAGGCAACAACGGAGAACCAGAAGTGGGACTGGATGAGTGGAGACCCCAAGGAACAGGAGATTGTAGATGAGGGGAAGAGAAAAGAGCAGATCAGAGACATATGGAGGGCATGAGAGAAAGAACAAAGAGGAGCAGAAACAAAACTGAAATAGGTATTACTTACTAACACACTAAGGAAAAAACACATTTAATGATGGATAGAGACAGCAGCATTCCTATCCCAAACAAAATCACAATTTGAACATCAGATCTGACTCTAACCTTGAAATATGGTTCAGCTCCAATCAACAGAAAAATCCTCTAATTAGCTGCAATACATTTGCCCCAATCCAAACAGACTAAGTCCTCGCCACCAGCCTAGTTATTCTCAACTACAGCTCTTGAAAAAGTGGCTCACAGGTTTCCACACAGCTCCTGCCCCACAGGAGATTTGTGGGGCTCTGCCTAATCCGTGCTCCACTGAGAGGAACAGGAAGGTCTCTATGGTAACTTTATAGGCAGCTGCTGCTGCAGTACCCTCGTGCTGGAGCACGCAGCAGAAACGAAGATGCACGGCAAAAGAACAAGCAGCATACGTTTTGATGAGCCACACTCAGCACACTATATGATTTGCTTCATCTACTTTGAGATGAAGAAACGTAACATCGATAAAACTAACTGCAAAATCATCAGAAAGAGAAATTATTTTGACATGCTGATTTAGAAAAAAGTGCCAATTCCTGCAATAAAACAATTTTGACATAGACTAACTAGTTTCAGATGCCTTCATGCCAGACCACTGATTCCAACCGTGCATCTCTCTAGACTCGCAGTGAGGCTTTCTTCTCATGCAGCTGAATTACCATGCATGCAGGTCTCTGCCGGACGGATACTCACTGCGGTCCACGGTTTGGCCTGGCGTTGGGCTGGGAGCTGGAGAGACGTCTGGCAGAGCTGATGACCCCAGGGCTCCAGAGTATTCCTTGGACCAAGAGCTTTTCTCTCTTCCTGTCTCTACATGTGCTCTGAGAGTGTCGTTGGGGGTGTGAGCACCAGCATCCCCTGTGGCTGGCAGAGCTGTGCCAGGACCACCTTGAGAGTTGGCTTGAGGCTCACCAAAAGCTGTGTGACTTCTAGTGGTAGCAAAGGCTGTTTGATTTGGAAACACCAGCGATGGTGAACTGAGCTGCCCTTGCCCAGCTGTGCCCACGGGTGCATTTGTGAGAGCAGCTGCTTGCTGTGATGCATTGGGGGAAGCCTCAGCTGCAGAGCTTTGCTGCAATGGACTTACGGTCGCCAGCCACGCTGTGTTCATGGCCACTTCCTTGCTGGCTGCGACCTCCGTGGCCATGGGGCTGTTGTCCCCACCAAAGCCCATCTGTGGTGTCAGGCCTTTTTTCCAAGGGTCTGGAGGAGCGCTGGTGGCAGAATGACCATGGGGCACTCGCTTGTCACCCAGGGGCAGTGCAGCAGGGATGTTTACGGCAGGTCTGATCTCAGAGCCTACAGCAGCCACCATCTCAGTGGTGGGAGGGGAAGCAGGGCCTGCAAGGCTTACTTCTTCAGGAGCAAACTCCGTACTGTTCGTTACTTCAGGAGCCGTTGTTTCAGTGAGAGGGCCCACAATCTCACCTGCAACATAGCAAATGTACATTGAAATGGGACCTCAAACTGGATGAGGAGCACCAGGGTCTGACCTGAAAGTGGGGCTGAGACCACTCAGCCACACATAATAGCAGTTCAGAAACAGGTCTTGGATATTTCGTTAACACCTTGTAGCATATGTGACTTACAGTGTTGAATCTGGTTTGTGCCTACACAAAGAAGCAGATTTGATTCCTGAGTCTCCTCTTCTGGTTTGGAGAGCATGGATCATTACAGTGGGAGGAAACTAGCCACAGACATACCAACAGAAGAAAAAGTATTTACTCTGTCAGCCAGAGACTGCAAAGGTACATCCATATACGCTTTGTGTGCTGTAACCAGTTGCAGTAAGAACAGAGGTAGAAAACCACAATTCATTTCAACCTTTCATAGCTAAGAGAAACTACATGCCCGTCTTCTCCTCACCCTCACAGTTTCTTCCAGGTCGAGATGGATTGGTATCCATGGTTGTCTTGCATCTGCACAAGTATGAGCCCATCAAATTGATGCACTCTGCAAACACAGAGCAGTCATTCTCGGTGTGAGAAGCGCATTCATCCCAGTCTGTAGGATCAAAACCAGAACATCGGTCAGACAGCCTCCCTTCTGGCTGCATTAAGCTAGAAATAATCACAAACCAGCCTTTTATTCAGTTTTTGAATTTATGAATGTGGTCTTCCTTTTTCATTATTCACCTGATAGACAAGCTTTGAGTGATGCAGATCTGTATTGTTATTCTCTCACATAAAAATCAACCTTTGTCCTTCCACTCTGAAACAATGTTTTCTCCAGGTAAAGAATTTTTTAAGAATTTTTTTTTAGAAGTATGTATTTATTTGAAGTGAAAAAAAATATTGTAGCTTTGTAGTATATCTATATCAAAAGCATACTTTATACCAAGTTCTGCGTACAGTACCTCCAGATACATCAGGTAATGAATAGATCTGTTACCACAAGCTATCACTAGATAGAATATCAAATTGAGACTTAATCCAAATAATTTTCTGCTTCAAATAAAAGTTAAATGCAAGTAACTCCCCTGAGAAGCACTTTTCACTTCTTAACTAAGGACGTGCTAAGGGCAAAAACTCTTTTTAGAAAAGATTTCTTCTCGCAGGTAACACTATAAAACTCTGACCTTCTTGCTGGTAGTCTCAGAAAAGAGATCCTGGTTCATCAAGGCATGAGTATGCTCTAAGGGTGCTCCTTATGTCCAAATTCAGCTGCTCTGAATCAGCCAGAGATTATTCTTTCATGCAGTTATAGACCTATTTTATTGCTGAGTCTCTTCATTCTTGAAGGATTTAGATCTGGAGTCTTATATTACCATTCGCACTCAGCTCCAGCAGACAAGGGCGAGTTAATGTTTTGGACACGAATAATCCCAGTGAATCCCATGTGAGCCCTCCCTGTGTGCATCCCTTGTGCATACACCTTCGCTGCCTCCGTGCCGTAAGTGAAGGTGGGCAGAAAACTAGACTGAAAACTGCCTTGGGACAAACAATTCTGCTCAGAGGCTAGAAAATTATTTTGAACAATGCAGTATTGTAAGTGCTTCTTCTGCAACATGCATAGATAAATCACTGTGATTATTTCTCCGAAACAAAGGAAAGTCCCGTTCCAGAAACAGAAAGTGTAGAGCAGGTGTGAGCATGCGCATACATGCGCTCATCTTTCTGCTTGCACCCAGCCTTCCCCTTTTATTTCCTCCCACCTAATATTGCGTTCTTTTTCCTTTCTTCCTCATTAGATAGTTGTTGTATCCGTGATCGTTTCCATCCGACAATTTCATGTGCCTATGGCCAGCATCTGCCGATTATGTTGCAGCCCAAGCCACTTAGAGGGAATACCGAAGTTGGCAGGACTGACTAAAGCACCAGCGATGAAAGTGCCACACTACCGCCTTGCTATGTATGCTACGAGGTAATTGTGATGCCTGATGGCTTCAAACATGAGATGCTCCCGTGCTAATTGCCAAACAGCTTACATTCACTGGCTCCATTGTCTCTGAGGGCTTCCTTTCCCATCACTTAGCGTGGCTTTCCTCCATAAATACTACATCTCAAGCCAAGATGCGCTCCATGCTCTCTTTCTGCACTCTTGGCCTCTCTCTGGCCTTTCACATTTGGCAAGTGCCTTCCCCCCCACACACCTCAACCAACAGTCCTACTCCAAGAATTATGAAAAAATCGCCGTTGTGCTTGCTCTGATTACCCACTATACCTGTAAGAAGTACATGTAATGGGGAAAAAATCTGTGAAACTCCTTGCCTAACGATGTTGCAGATGCTAAAGGTTTGCATGACTTCACAGGGAATCCATGGAGGAGAAACCCAAAGAAATCACTTTGGATTCAGGGACTCCTGGAGCTGAAAATAGTTGCTGTCTAAGGGAGTATTAGTAAGACTCATCCTCTCCACTTGCTATATTCTTACAATTCTCCAGGAATTGGCTCCTGGCTGCTACCGAGGACGTGATACTGTGCTAGATGTATCTTGGGCCTGACTCAGCACACTTCCCTTTCTCTTTTTTTTACCCTGCCTCACACAACAGACAAGACATTTTAGTGTCTCTATTCATCATGGCAGTGAAATTAGTAATTTATGAGTCTTCAAAGAGAGACGCAATTGCTTCACTCCCTTCAACTGTGCTATACTTTCTGACTTCTCATCCTTGCTGTTTCAAAGTTGAATTCCCTGATCTGCCACTGTCACTAAACCAAGCATATAGCCTTTTGATGGCCAGGCTCCACAAAGGATCCAGGTGGCATTGCTTCACTGGTGCGTGAGGAGCTGTGTGGGCTTACTGCCACAGGACATCTCCTGAGGCTCTCAGGGGTCAGGAAGCAATACAGTCCATTATACAAATCTTTCCTTCATGTGCTGCACTCCTTCACCTTATCTTCCACATCTGACTTTAGGAAACACGTGTTAAACAAATGCTTGTTTGGGCAGAGCTAAGAAATAGACTCCTTTTATCTGCCTCTAAGGAGGGGTGGAAGAGTTGGCTGTGCTCCTGGCTAAGAGTGGTGCTACTGGAAGCCACCTGGCTTTCTGCAATTAAAGTGACAGTCCAGAGCTATTGCCTTCTTCCTCCTCACTCTTTCAGTCTCGGGATCAATAATGTTCGTAAAGTATTTTGGCACGCATCAGCATCCTGCAATTCAGTATCTGCTACCACTGTGATATTTGTAGGCTTCAGGCGCAATTTGTCTCTCTCAGTTTTATCCCCATCCTTTCCCCCTTAACCTCCATACACTCTGCAACTCCAAAGGGAGTTTTCCCTCATCACAGTAAATAAGTTTTTAAGGGCTCAATACAATGGGAGAGAAGAATAACCCATTCTGTTGATTTTGGCAACTTTCTAAAGTCTGGCTGGCTCTGCCAGCTGGGAAGCCTGAAGCCAGAACTTAGTCCTTTGAAGATAAAACTGGTGATTACTGAAGATCAAACAAAGGCCTAGTTTAACATAAATTTCATACGTATTTTTTTAGTCCTATTCACTGAGAGGGCATGTGGCAATTTATCTGGCTGGATTTCTATAGTGAAGATGTTAGATCTCTTTTCTTAAACCCTGGCCCAAATATGGCCCCACAGCCTTGAAGAACAAAACTGTTTAGAGGGCATGTGTATGCTAAAGGCTACAAATATTTCACAGTAATCCTATCCACAATTCAGGGAGAGAAAGATATGGCAAACTTCCAACTGTTCGCGAAGAGGAGAGAGAGGAAATTTAATAGGGAAACTAAGGTCTCCACTCCTCTTTAAACACAGTGGAGGGAAGCAGTGCCTGCAGGTACCTGAGGACAGCCAATGCTCTTTCTTCCGACCACTTCTGGGCTTATGGATGAAAGACCACAGATGAGTTCTTGGCCTGGTTTTCCCTCCAACGAACCACTGTAAGCTCCACATATTTTGTCTCTCTATAAAGTACTTTTCATTAGGAATGCTGGTGATACTGTGCATGATCAAAATACAAACCCTGTTTGGCTGTTTGAGAAAAAAAAATTACCTTCTACTGCAGTGTTTTGCTGATCCACCAAAAGCGAAGAACGATTATGCAGGTACGAAAGCACTGGGGTAAATGTGGAGGCATCAGCTGGAAACTCATAATCCTGCACAGTGATTCTGAGCCTCACAATGATGCTTCCGGCTTGCAGGGATTCAGTCTGCACTTTCAGCTTCCCAGATTTGTATAAAGCAGAAATGTTGAGTGGAAATGAATTTTCAAGCTAAGCAAAAAGAGAGAAACATTGACAATCAGGAACCCAATGGGAACAGCTCCTTTTAAAACTGAACTATGGTGGTATCATTTCAAAGATTTACATATGTACAACACGGAAAATGTTGTAAAAAATGTTGTCCCAAGTTTCAAAGTGTTTCAGAAATTCTACTTTTCAGAGATTATTAAGGCACAGAGAAGCATGAGTCTCCTTGGTGCACCTAGGTACCCTGGGAAATGGTACCCATCTGACCACTGGTCTTACAAAACAAATTCCATTTTGGCCCAACGGAGCAGAATTCCTTCTGCCCCTGTTTCCATGCGTCACAGATGAATTGGCCCAGTTAGTTTGCATGCATTAGATCCTTGATGTTAGCTCTGTGTGTCATGCAAACTTTTTCTCCCAAGTCTCCAATATATTCACCTCTGCACTCCCAGACCCTGGAACTCCATCATCTCCACTGTTGTTGGGGTAGACTCGGGCTTGATTTTGGCTGCTACCAGCTAGCAGTCCCCCATGAAGTACCCAGGTAGAGATGACACTTAGCATTGGCCAGGGGCCAGTCCCAACAGGCAAGCTGAATGTGACTGCTGTATTTTGGAAGACTCAATTGCATGGATTCAGGCTGATTAGTGCCAATTGATGTCAGTGTCAGAGAACAGTTCAGGAAATGTTTCATTTACGAGTATGGGCATAACTTTAGCTCTCAGAGATTATTTCAAACTCACCAGTCCAAGTCCAGCCTGCAGCTGACTCTAATGACAAAGAAATCTCAGGATGAGAGATAAGAAAAATGGGGGGGATAACTTCAAGAAAATGTGTTTGAGACAGCCCAGCTTCAAGGCAGTATATCAATTATGCTTGTCTACCGATCCGGTAAGTAGACACATCAGTTGAAAAATGGTGTTACTCTGAACATTAAAGCTGGCATACTGCTGTCAATATTTGAGCTGTGCAGGAGTCGGCAGTTTTGCCTTACATCTCTAGAAGGCATTTCCGCGCTTGAGCCTTTTGCTCCTACGTACACCTCAAAGCATGCCCTTCAGCACGCAATGCAGCGCCATAAATCAAGACAGCTTTGCTCCCGTTTAGCTGGAGTTTGCTCCAAAATTTCCTACAAGCAAACTGTTTAACTGGTCTAAGTTCAGATCAGGCTGGGGAGGTAACAAAATAGAGGAGAGAGGAAGTTAGAGGGGGATGTCGTGCTTGCAAACACCCAAGGAGACAAAAGTAACACAGATGGGCAACGCTCCTTTTCCTTCCCAACCCCATGATGCCAATTAGGTCTGCATTAGTCTTAGAGGAGATTCACTCACAAAAATCCTCCTGCACCACAAACACAAACAATTTGCAGCTATGGAAAATAAAATCAAGTCAGCAAGTTCAACTTGCAATTTCTCATGAACAAATGCTTCTTCTGTGCTGCCTTTGAAAGTATAGTTCCATTATTGGTTTTTTTTTCCCTCCGATTTATATTCACTTACATTTATGAGTCCCCATTTGTTTTGGGAAAGTCTCATTTTGGACGGAGATCCCAGTTCCTTTCTTTGGGCCCTGTTCTCTACAGCAAAACAGTAAGATATCACTGCATCTGAAATGTCCCTCCTGTTTGGGAAGCTGAGAGCTAGTAACAGACTTCATTACTCAAATTTTGTTTAAGTCTGATTACACCTGAGCATGGACAGTGGTTACATATGTGCATGCAAAGAATGAGGCTGGAGAAGAAAGCCTTATCTGGTCACATTTCCTGAAGAAGAAAGAGCTTTGAGAGCAATCAGACGTTTACTGAGAAGACAGCACTGAAATGAATGCCAGCAATGTCATTTCAATAATCCATTAAGAAGCCTCAAGTCAATTCAGTGTGAGTTTATTGCCAAACTAAAGATCCAGGTTTGGCAATAGAGAAGGGAGTTCCTGTTGCATGCCTGCAGCTTTAATTCCTTTACTCTTCTGTAAGGGAAAATTCTCATTGGCTCCATTGCTAATAAGGCCAAGGGCTTGATCTGTCTAGTCAGTTGGATTTTGTTTTAATTATAAAGAAAGGTAACAGGAAACAATATGATGATTTTCAAGGGATATTTCAGCCAGGCATAAATCCTCTATTACATTAAATAAATTCTAAATTGAAAAGAAATGTATTACCCACAGGTATTTTAGCATTACCTCTGTAAGCAACAGTCTTGAAAAATCTTCATATGCTGAGCTGCTGGCATTATAGAAATCTTCAGTGAAGTTGTAGTTGAGAATCCTCATAGTAATAATGAATATCTTGGCCTCTGTAGGACACAATATTTAAACACACTCTGACAAAGCAGAAGAGGAAAGGATTCAGTCAGAACTGAAATACGCAGACCAAAATCTCAGGTGATGTAGAGGGAAGGAGGGGAGAAGGCTGGGAGAGTTTGGTATTAAACTAAGAAAATAAAGCAAATATTCTGCTACAAGTCTCCCAGACATTGAAGAGATGCACTTACATTAGGTCCATAAAGATATTTATAAGCCATTGAAGAGATGCACTTACATTAGGTCCATAAAGATATTTATAAGCCTAATTCCAGCTGCCATGAGAGCTGGGTATACACATATCCCTGTGGACCTGGCTCTATGTAACTCCTGCATTTGAATTACATCCAGGGTTGAATTGCCAGTGAGCTCCTCCCTGGTCCACCAGTCATAATTATCCTTTTTTTCCTGATCTTAGTAGTGTGGATAGGAAATATATTATTAAACTGAAAATAATAACAAAACACACTGCATGCCACTCCTCTGTCTCGTAAGCCATGACAGATAACATACAGAGCATGTAAGCTGAAACCAAGAGCCAAGGAATCTATTAACCATTGTAACCTGTATAAACAATCTGAGGCTGTTACTCTTTGGGTTGATCTTTGGAAAACTTTTCTTTTTCTAAAGGGCTCCAACTTCAAGTTCAGCCCCCTGTTTCTGTAACCATTAAACCTCCTACTTTTTCCTCTACAAGGCAGTGGGCTCCAACTTCAAGTTCAGCCCCCTGTTTCCGTAACCATTAAGCCTCCTACTTTTCCTGTACAAGGCAGGAATTTCTCCCTGATGCAAACTGGAGTCATCCCTCATCTGATCAAACTATGGATAAATATAAACAGCAGCATTCTCACTGTGGCCAGTATTAAATAGTTCACTGCCTGCTTTTTGAAGAAAATGTTGAGAGATTTATTTCTTTATCTGCATGAAGGGTCATCCCTCATCTGATCAAACTATGGATAAACATAAACAACAGCATTCTCACTGTGGCCAGTACTAAATAGTTCAGTGCCTGCTTTTTGAAGAAAATGTGGAGAGATTTATTTCTTTATCTGCATGAAGGCTTAGGAAATAATTTGAGGACAAAGGAAATGCAAAATTATGTTTGATCAACAGAGTAGGGTCTTGAGCCAGCGGCTTAGGAAATAATTTGAGGACAAAGGAAATGTAAAATTATGTTTGATCAACACAGTAGGGTCTTGTGGAGCCAGCATTACTAGCTAATTGAACAAAATTATGCAGGTGTTCTGCAAGCTTTCTTACACAGCCCTTATTATTCCCTTTAATTCTCACAAATGTTCAGTCAAATCTGGCCTTCCTCTGGGCACTCTTGTTAGCTCAGTCGAGCCCTTGACAACCCCTTACACAGCCCTTATTATTCCCTTTAATTCTGGTCACTCACAAATGTTCAATCAAATCTGGCCTTCCTCTGGGCACTCTTTTTAGCTCAGTTGAGCCCTTGACAACCTAGTTGACTGTATTTCTCACTGGCCACAGCCATCAACCAGGAAAAATGGGGCCTGATGGGAGATGGGTGGCAGAAGAATGCAGTGTCAGGCACAAAAAAAAAAAACACCACCAAAAAAAAAAGAAGTATTCTACCTTAGGCTGATATCTGTAATAGTCTGAGTCAGCTCCAGCACTGCTTTAACAACTAATGCCAGACCTGTGCTACCTGATAGTTCGGGTTGTGTAAGTGCTGGAGAAAAGTGCAGAAGGAGAAGGGAAATGGAGTTCAGAGAGGACGAAATGGATCATTGCTGAACTGCAAATGAGTGGAGAGAGAAAGAGAAAGCGAGAGTGAGAGAAAGAGGGGGGAAAATACTTATATTTTAAAGTGGCTGTTTACCTGTTTTAACATTTTGACGGGAGATGCTGCTTTTTCCACAAGTTTCATAGCTGATCTCTACTGAATAGATCACACCTGCTTCCAGTCCAGACACGTCCATTTTCATTTCCTCTGTCTTCAGGTTTTGTACAATCTCTTCGCCCTTGAACACTTGGACTTGGAAAGTATGGTTCAGAGCAGAAGTGACAAGCCAGGACATTTCAAAACTATTGCTGGTAACGTTGAATATTCGGTGGTTTCTAACTGCAGAGGGATCTATTGCAGGTCCAGGAAGAGTCATCACAGAAAAAGCAAAATTTCATCTTTAAAGCATTGTGCTATCCTAAATCCACTATAGACAAGCACTTTGACAATCAGTAGAAGAAGTTCTTCTTCACATTATGTCAGGACAGATTCTGCCCCTCTCACAGTACCAGGCTCCCCCATCCATGAACCATCTCACCAGAGTGATTAATTGGGGTACTTACTCTTTTTATTTCCTTTTGCTGTTTGTGTTGAATCTCTAGTAACACTAATAATCAGCCAGTGAGCTACGGATTCAAGCAACAGAAATAAATTTGGAATAGTGAATCTGTGTACTCTACCTAAATTCACACCTACTGTGCCTCTTGTCACTTTAATGATCAAAATGCACCTTTTCAGGCAAAGGCTGCCTTGATTTATGCCTGGAAAAACCCTGCAGACTCTAGCTTTTAGAGGCTGGGGGCAGAGAAGTGGGCAGCATTTCACTTATTTATGCCACTGTAGTCCAGCGCAATCATTGTCATGTCAATGGGAAAAGACAGGACCCTTCAGAGATGATTCCTCTCCTCGAAGGAGGTGTCTAAATAAGGTAGGATGAATTGCCCTCTAGCAGAGCCTGTCTGTCTCCACTAACAAGAGAGAGATCCCAGACTAGACTCCTCTCCTGTAGACAGCAGGAGTCAGGTGAGATGAACATCATCCCCCACACTAATCTAGAGATCATGGCATGCTGCTGCCACAACTTCAATTCTTTCATGCTAATGGTTAGCCTGAGAAAAAAGTTTGTTTTCTTAAATCGTTTCAATAGGACACAATTTTTTCCAGGCCTCTGAATCCCATGGCTGCCAAACACCCCAAAAACCATACCTCCCCTGCTCTAGAGGGACTTCAGTTCAATTCCTCTACCTTCAGCTTGAATCAGAAGCTGTGGATGAAGATCAAGAATATCCAGTCTGTCTTTCTGAACTAGGCAAAGAACTGCTTAAAGCTACTTCCTCCCACAAAAAGAACAGGATGTCATTAAAAGCATTGTGAAGAGCTGAAAGGGCTAAAGTCACCCATTTAAAGAGAAATCTACTGGGGTTTGTTGCCATCATAGTCTCTCAGACAGCTATCATGTATAGCAGGGAGAGTATTCACAAAAGCTAACTCCAGCGTAGGGTAGCTGCAGCCAACCTCCCTGACTCATGTCCCTCACCATCATCTTAATGGACTCAAAAGCAAGAGGCCCACATCCCTGTGGCCGTGGCCAGGAGGAGCTCCTGGTGTCAGCAGTAGATCCTCACATACCTCATTCCACGACAAGCCTGGGACACTCAGTGAGCTGAGTCCAGGGCGAGTGAGCGGTGCCAGCCTCACACAGCTCTCACTGGCATGCTTCTTGCGCTGGAGGTTTATCCAGCACAAGCCCTATGATGGGACCTGCACTTGAATGGCTCACCAGCACAAGTGGTTCAAGAAGCCCAGTGCAGCCACTTCAACTTCCAGAAGGCCAGTTCACTTCAGTAGCCGTGGGGATAACAGTGAGGCTTCTCCAGTGCTCATTTCAGAGCACCACAGCCCTCGATTCGAACGTTCGGTTGGGGAAGACTCTCTCTGTTCCCACAGGTGGAGATTCACTCCAAAACCATTACCAGCTTCTGTAAACACTCTTCTGTAACTCAACCAGCCTCAGGAAAAAGGGATCAAAGAGCGGCTGAGTTAAAAACAAGACAATATTCATTCAAATCCAAGGTTACTTACAGCACCCAGCATCTGTAGATTGGTTAGTCATGAACAAGAGACTTGAATTACTCATAGACGGAGAGCTATTGCTAGTGTTAATGAGACCTAACACTGAACTTGGAGTAGATGCTGCCATGCCTGGGGGAAAAATAATATTATCAAAGAGTTAAAGCATTCCTAACAAAACAAATCCAAAATAATATCATTCATGTTTTCCACAGCTGAAAAGCATCAACAGAAGTAATACAAATAGAAACAAAAATAAACATATTATCATTTGACAAAAGCATAAAGTAATCCATTATTTTAATTTTTGAGATTAAAAGATTGTAACGTTGTTTTCTAACCAAAACATTAAATCTGCAAGCACTTATTTATTTCATTATCTTTAAGCCTATTAACAGGCCCATTGATGTCTGTGGGCTGTAAGAACATGCCTCTGTATTTTGCTGAACTGGTATCGCAAAGTATTATTTCACCTGTTGCCAAACTCTCCAGCAGAGGACCCTGTCTAATCCAGGGTGGGATTATACTACCACTTAGTCCCAGCTGCAGTCACACAGTCAAAATGGGAAGGAGAGTTCATGTGCAAATAGCATCACTCACTGTATTTCCCCGAGTGGCCAGGGAGGTGAACTGACACTGAGTGACTTGCTCTGAGAAGCAGTCAGGGTCTGAAGCTACAGGGTTTGGCAGGTGAGTGAGGACATCTGAGGGTGAGATAGGAGAAACAGCCAGGTACTGTCAAATAAATACACTGCATTTCAACCAGAAATAGCTAACAGCTGGCTTATGTGGCATCTTCTTCCAACAGGAAGAGAAGGGGCACTGCGTGCTCCAGAAATCTTTGCCTTGCAGGTGACTCCTGCAACAGACCACAAAGTCCTGCAGAAGCATTCTCAGTTTTTCCCAGGGTGAGACCTACATTTCCTACCTTCCTCTCTTGTGCTCAGCTGGTGATAGTTGACATCTGCAGGTTTGTGTTGAGGGTCACAGTTGTAATAACCCTCCAGATTTACACAGGTGTTCTTCTCGGGACAAGCGTTGAATTCAGCATAGGAACATTCATTGACATCTAAGAAGAAGAACACACCTTGCACAGGTATTGATGGCAGCGTCAAGATTGATCTGCAATGTGTGTAGACCAGGCTCTGGACATGATAAACTCAGTGTAAACCTCTAGTAACCCTGCTGAAGCAATTCTGGATGTATATGGGTGCAATGAAATCAGAAAGCTGCCCTTCCCCAAAACTAGCCTCCGTTCAGTTATAACTATCAATTTTTATTCCAACTCTTTGGAATAAAAGGACAGTTAGTGGCAGCTTCTGCTTACAGTTGCAGGGTGTCATCCAACCTAAGAGACAGCAGGCAGAGGGAAGGAGATCTATCCAGTGATTTCACTGGAAGTTGAACTGTTTTCAAAAGCGAACACAGAAGTGATGAAAGCAATGCTTATGGATGCATTTCAGGAGTGAAAATGTTCAGATTAGTAAACGGTGATAAGTACTTTAAAATAATTTAAAGAGAATATATTTAAATATTTACCTGTCATTTTAAAAGTAGGTAATAATATGTTATATTAATTAATAGACTATAAATACTCCTTGTTTCGTGCAAGCTAGTGGAAGTTGGCATACATAAAAGCAGAGTATATCCGCTTCTCAAGAAAACACTTAATACAGCTAATGATTGTGCTACAAATTTGAACACCTTGGCTTTTGCATATGAAGATGGACTATGCCATGGGCATAAAGGAAATTTAATTAAGGAAGCAGGAGAATTCCCCTCCAAACTATTCACTCCAAGAAAATTATTAGCTAACTACAACTCTCCATCCTATAAGGGATAGGTGAGGGCCATATTTGCAAAGTTTACAAGATTCACTACGCAGTATTTTTGAAAGCAAATTGGTAGCCATACAGACAAAATTCCAAGTGAAGAGGGATGAAAAGCCCTGAAAAATCTTCTCCTCATGACAGGATTATAATAATTAACCTTGCACTTCTATGTTGATCACTTCATACGTGCGCTTCACAATGTCCTTCAAGGAAGAAGAAACCTCTGCTAGTGGAGCCGGCTGGTGCAGCCCAATGAGAACCTGAGAGGCCACCGTCCCAGCGTACACTTCTGCACGGTTACTCTGGATATGGTACACAGAGGCATTCAAGGGCTGCAACGCACCAGTAATCTGAAAACAAGGGAACGAATACTTCAGTATCTCATTCCTTTCTCAGCACAACAGTATGTCAATGAGCCAGAACCTATTCAATGATTATCATCATAATCTGAGTGTAGAAAGCACCAATTCAGAAACCATAGCCAAGTGGCAACGTTTAGTTGTGTGTTTATGCAAGGTGAGCTCTTCTTATTAGCATCATATTTCACAACAGAGTTACAGTATAGTAATTCCAAGCTAAAGAAAGGTGTGGAGCTGCATGCAGATCTCAAATGCTTAGGCAGGAGGATGCAATCCAGAAAGATATGGGAAAAGTCTCTTTAGCTTGTAATGCTTAAATGTCAAAATCTCAACAGACAGAATAGACATTAGACATACTATTACAGTGCATCTGTAATAAGGCTGTCCAACACTTTAAGCAACTGAAAATACTGCTGAAAAAGGGAATAGGAAAAGAAGAAAAGCAATAGACTGAGCAAGGAGGCTGGGACTAAGAGCCAGAGAGCTCCTTGAGGATGAGGCTGACATTCACTAATTAGGAATAAATTAGGGCCCAAAAAAAATGATCTAGTAGAGCAAAGGGGAAGTGACCGGCTGGTAATGTTACGCCCAGCAGAGAGGATTATGAAGCAAGAGGTGGTTATTGAGTAACAGAAATGTGGACGCAACAAGCAAAACATGGGAGCGTTTGTGTTTGTACATACCATGGAGTGCAAGAGGCGTGAATGATTCAGAAGGTGGGAATCCACTCTGATTAATTCATTAAAATCCATTTTCACAAGCACTGTCACATTGTACCAGAACATTCTTCCTGAAGGGTACAAAATAAAACCGCCAAGTCATCTGAGGTCTGATGCTCTAGAAAACGACAGAGCTGTAGGAAGGATCTGAGAAACTGAAATGAGCTTTGACTTGGTAAATAGGAAGGGCTCACGTACAGCCATCAGCTGAAGCCTAGTTCGCCATATGCCACAGGCAGCAGCATCAGCAAAGGAGAAGAAACCAAGCAAGGTCCACTGGACCTGTAGCACCCGCAGTTCGGCACTCATGAGTGCAACACTGAAACTGAATACCCTGGAATTCATCCAAAGCAGATTCCCATATTTGTTTAATGAAGAGCTATGGTAATAATTTTCCTGCCCACTCCCACCCTCAGAAGGAAAAATAAAGCATATTTCTATTAGAAGCATTCTTGAATTTATCAGTAACATACCCTCTGGCATCGGATCCACACAGCCTGCTCCTTTGGATGAGTTGCAGCATTTTTTAAGCCCTGGACATTCAGTATCGAACGTGCAAGGATAATCAGATGTTTCCACACTCTCCATTGGACAAATACCAGGTCTTGAGGAAAATACACTGGATCTATTAAGTGCTAATTAAAAAAAAAAAAACAACAACATTTCTGAGAACAAAAATAAAGAAAATTGTTTCCATAAAATTGTGATATTTAATTTACAGCAAACACCTCCTCCTCTTTTAGAAGTGCGTCTGTTCATGGGGAGAAGATAGCAGCCTAAAATGCCATTATTTCATTTCAAGGGTGTAAATGTTCTCAGATTTTTCTCTTGTTCACGACATTTCTGTTACAGAAATTTTTAACTGATAATTTTCTATTAGTAATTATGGATAGATAGATAGACAGACAGACAGACAGTTTCTAAATGGGGAGACATTGAAGCAATGCAAAACAGAAAATGTGTTTGATGTCAGCTCTGACTAATCCAAATAATATATAATGAACCAAGGAAACAGGTAATGTCGAAACTAGAAATCTGGAGTTTTCATTTAACCTTTTGTTGTGACAAAGTTAATCTTTAGTCATACTAATTGAAGATGCTACATGAGAGTGGAGACAAAACGCTGTTCTCCGGTACAGTTAAGCAGGTTACAGAGAGGCAAAGGAGGGCAGAACTGAGCCCGTGGTCTGCAGCCTGGCAGCACACACTCTGTATCAGCCAGCCAGCCAGCCACGCCGGAAGGTCCCTAGCCCACACCAGACAGCCCTGCAGAGAGGGCAGCCAAGGCAGAAGGTTACTGCTTCCCAAGCCAAGGGCAGATAGAGATCCTGGCTCAATGACAGCGCATACTCTTCTCTGGACAAAAGAGAAAATATTTCTAAGCTTTATGAACATTACTCTCATCTATGGTCTCAAACATAGCTCCAAGTGATGCTCAGCTCTGGTCTTTCCAATCAGCCTAAAAGATTTCTCTTTTCCGTTCATTTTGTGCCTGCAGGATTTTGGTCCTACAAACCCTTGACCCATTACTGGGCAATTAAAGTCAGTGAGGAGAAAACCAGAAATTATTCTTGCAATAAAAACAGGTTGTAGTGTAGGAAAACCACATTTGACATAATAAAACCCCATAGCAAATGAAAGGTCTATAGCAACCTACAAATCTATCATGAACTGCCACTTCTACGGATTTTCAATTTCTGTTATTTCAAGGCTTTGAATAAAAGTAAATCTGAGGTTTCAGAGAAGTTGAAGGGAATATTAAACCTAGGACTCTTCGCCTCAGCAAAGTAACCTTCTTAAACAGGCAAATGATCTTGATTAATCAAGATTTAAACTAAATCTGTGTAACTTGCTGCCATGTGCACGTTCCAGGTCCCCCTCTCTGCCAGTTCATGGGAGACTGGAGGCTATTGCAAGCAGAGAGCCTCAGCTTTTTAGAACACTCCATAACAGATACCATTTTTAGTACTTTGAATCCCCAGCTCATGCTACATCCAGGGACTGAGCTCAAAACATGGCATGCAAAATTCAATATGTATAATTTTCAGCCACTTCTGCAACTGGACATACAGTCATATTTGCAGAGAGAAATAGACTATTAAGACCAGTGGTTTTAAGACTACAGTCTGTGTCTCTTGGAGGCCCACAGTATGTTTGTCAAGGGTCTCTGAAAGATAATTTAAAAGTAAGCATAATTTAAGGACAGGAGTCCACACCTCCACTGAAAAGCCTGTCAAAACCTACCAGCTGGAGAACAGGGAAGGCACTGAGTTGAGACCTCTCGGCAGCGTGCAGATTACTTGCATGTGTAATTTTAAAGATTTGCAGGCAGAATACATGGGACAGCACTTTCCCACACTGTTTTATATTGTATTTGACACACTGTGTGTGTATGCTTTGTGTGCTCACAGTAAATGAGCATATGCTTTAACAGGGCTGTGAGGCCCTTTCAAGTAGAGGTGGTGTTAGAGAGCTCTGGGCAGTAAATTAGGAAACTCTGCCCCCGCTCCTAACCCCAATGAATGGCTGGCTTCCCTACAGGGAGCAGGATTTGTCCTGCTACCTAATGCAGCCTAGTATGGGCCCCTTCATGCCTGCAAACCAAGGGCCCTTGCCTTCCTTAATCTTCTCCAGGACCAACTTTGCCTCCAAAATTCATTTTGAGTCATAGGCCTAGGTTTGCAACTGGAGGATGAGAGAAAAAATAATCAACCCTCTGCAATCTTACTCAAGTTACTTCTGAGTCCAACAAGCCCCAGTAGTCCTATTTTGCTTCCCAGCATGGACTAGGAATCTCTGTTTCTGGCTCTGGGGCTGGCATTACAGACCATTCCCCTAAATGGGTCCTACTGCTAGAAAACCTTTTCTTGATTTCTAGTCTAAAGCCACAATAAGGTGTGATACAGCCTCAGTTGCCCTTAAATGAGTCCCCCATACCTTCCTAGTCTCATGCAATTGCTCTGTGCCAGGGAGGCTAAGCAGCCTCTCGCACTGGGAGCTTGCACAGACATGAGAACCAAGGGATTTCTCTGTGTTGGAACGCCACCAGTGCTCCTTGCCATTCAGACCAGGTGGATCTTGGTAAGCTGGACTCATAAACCCCTCCAGCTCTGAGATTCAGGTGCAGTTCCAACAGGTTTGAGGTTCAAAGCAGCTTTTTTCCACCTGAGTCTTTTTTTGGCATGTTTAACTGCAGTGTAAAAGATTTAATGAGTCACATGCAAGCTCAGAAAACACTATTGAATCCTGGCCGAGTGCCACACTAGCCATTTATCTAAAATCAAAAGGTCATCATTTCAGATCAGCGGAAACACAGATGGATTTACCTCATATTTCTGCTTAATTGTACCAGATGCACTTTGAAAATTTTATTTATGCTCTCCACTTCAGTCATCTTGGGGACAGTCACCTACCAAGCAACACTACCAGTACTGGGGAGCAAGCTGGCCAACTCCTCTGTCAGTTGGATAAAGCATAGGCTTTTCTCTCGGTTATTTGCATGAACATACAGAGGCAGAAATGCAGCACCCAGTGCTTAGCAACGAGAGCTCAGTTACCAGCCTGCTCACATGAGAGCTGCTGGGTGTGCTGTCACTGCAGGACGAGGGGGATCTCCCAGGAGACATGCTGAGGGACATCATTACCTCAGCCATAACCTCCTTCCTCTCCCTCCTTCCACCTGGACGGGCCGGGTTTCATCCAGAGGGTGCGGCAGAGCCAGGGACCAAAAGCCTTACATTTGTCTCAGGCATCAGAAGGTGGAGACAAATCTATGACATTATAGAAGAGCTCCTAGCAAAGCCTGTTACAGAGGCAGACTGTAAGTTTTCACCATATGACCCTGTTTTGAGGGTCTTTGAGCATTGCTAGACGTTACCTTCTCAGATGGATGTTGTCCAAGGATTAATCAGGATGGAGGGCAGCGTTGGGATGTGCTGGTTCAGCATCTGACAAATAGTTAACACCCCTCCCTAGGAAAAGCCATGTCATTCACTAGAACATAATCAGGAGCCATGGGCCAAAATTTGGCAAGGACACAGCTGTTGGACAATACAGGAACATGGCCTTCACAGCACAAAAGCAGTATGCATGCTCAGAATAAATTTAAGGAAATTTAGCCACTGTCATCTCCAATGTGTTCATCCTGCTGGCAGCACCACGATGTAGCCATGCTCTGCCCATCGGTGCTTGCACCAGCAATCAGTGAAGAGCCAGCAGGAACCCATGGTGAGCCTGCAGCTCAGATGCGACTCCAAGTACCCCTGCTCCCCTAGAGGTTAATTCAGCTGGGAAAGGCATGGGGTGAGTGACTGAATGGAGCAGATAACCTGCAAGGACAAACTACTAAAAAGGCTGGGACTTTTTGCTATGGAGAGGAGAAGGCTGAGGAGATGAGATCAAGGTTTACAATATCCCAAAAGCAGAGGGTTAGGTGAAAGCAGAGCTGGTATTCACCAGAGCCCGCAGTAATAAAATGGGTAAAAGTGCACACTTCTCTACCCAAAGGGGAGTGAACTTCTGCAATTTGTCAGCACAGGAGGGTGCAGAGGCTGACTGCTTTAGTGAGCTTAAAAATGGACAAGACAATCCTCAGACAAGGGGCCCATAAGCAGACACCATGGGCAACAGGCAGGGACGTACCCTCTGACATCCATAATCCCATTTCTGTGGCTGCTAGGGGCACACAAGGGACCCAAACCGCAGGGCAGCCAGAGATATCTGCTTCTGGGAGAGGTCCCCCACTTCCTACCCTGGAGGGATGCTGCAATGTTGCCCACATGCTGACGGTGACACCGCTGTCCCATGGCTTTCTGGTGACAACCCAAGCAGTGGAGACAGCCGTGCTGCAGCTCCCCACTGCTCCAGTTAGACCGAGCACGCAAACATCCACATGCAGGCTCTGAAAAGTCCCACTCCTGCTGAGTAGCTACCTGGGCACCTAAAAGGAACGTGTTTTTTTTTTGCTTTACAATTGTTTTTCTGAAAACCTTTGTAAGTTATGCACACAAAGAGTACTCTGATTAAAGTGTGGCCTTAACATTGAAATTAAGTCCTCTCAAGTTAAGAAACTCCAGAATTAAAGCTGTCTGGGCCTTCTTATTTCAAGGAATTTGGTATATGTGTGCTTAAAAAACAGCCTCCATTGTATGCTGAAGCACTCTTTTGCTCCCTGCCTGGAGATCAAGCAGGTTTAGATGGCAGATAAGGAAGCTCTCTGGTTCCATCTTATGCAGTAAGGTGGAAGGTGAGCAGCAAACCAGAGACCAGGAGATGGGAACATACAAGTAGCTGGAAACTAGCCTGGAGAATCGGGGTCCCTATTTTTGCCTGAAAGAAATGCCTGCAAGATGGATAAGGGGAGAGCAACTAACATCGTCTAACTGGACTTGTCCGAAGCATTTGATACTGTCCCACATGACATCCTTGTCTCTAAACTGGAGAGACATGGATTTGACAGATGGACCACTTGGTAGATAAAGAATTGGCTGGATAGTCGAACTCAAAGAGTTGTGGTCAACAGTTCAATGTCCAGGTGGCGACCAGTGACGAGTGGTGTTCCTCAGGGGTCAGTACTGGGGCCAATGCTATTTAATATCTTTGTTGGTGACATGGACAGTGGGATCAAGTGCACCCTCAACAAGTTTGCTGACAACACCAAGCTCTGTGGCACTGTGGACACGCTGGAGGGAAGGGATGCCATCCAAAGGGATCTTGACAGGCTGGAGAGGTGGGCCTGTGCGAACCTAATGAAGTTCAACAAGGCCAAGTGCAAGGGCCTGCATGTGGGTCAGGGCAATCCCATGCACAAGTACAGGATGGGTGGAGAATGGATTGAGAGCAGCCCTGAGGAAAACGACTTGGGAGTGCTGGTGGATGAGAAGCTCAGCATGAGCCGGCAATGTGCGCTGGCAGCCCAGAAAGCCAACTGTATCCTGGGCTGTATCAAAAGAAGCGTGGCCAGCAGGTCGAGGGAGGTGATTCTACCCCTCTACTCTGCTCTTGTGAGATCCCACCTGGAATAACTGCATTCAGCTCTGGAGTCTGCAACACGAGAAGGACATGGAGCTGCTGGCATGAGTCCAGAGGAGGGTCACAAAGATGCTCCAAGGGCTGGAGCACCTCTCCTCTGAAGACAGGCGAGAGAGTTGGGGCTGTTCAGCCTGGAGAAGAGAAGGCTGCGGGGTGATCTTATTGCAGCCTTCCAGTACTTAAAGGGGGCCTACAGGAAAGCTGGAGAGGGACTTTTTACAAGGGCGTGCAGTGATAAGACGAGGGGCAATGGCTTTAAACTGAAAGAGGGTAGATTTAGATTAGATCTAAGGAATAAATTTTTCACTCAGAGGGTGGTGAGGCACTGGAACAGGTTGCCCAGAGAAGTTGTGGATGCCCCATCCCTGGAAGTGTTCAAGGCCAGGTTGGATGAGGCTTTGGGCAACCTGGTGTAGTGGAGGGTGTCCCTGCCCATGGCAGGGAGGTTGGAACTAGATGATCTTTGAGGTCTCTTCCAACCCAAGCCATTCTATGATTCTAAGATGCTAGGCAAGTTCCATACAAGAAACTCATAACAACCTTGCAGAGCCATGGGTTTCGCAGGAACCTGACCTGCAGCCCTAGGACCTGCTTAGCAATCAGGGGACTGCTCACAGTCACCACTGAGGACACAAGGCTCTGCAATTTAAGCATGCAAGTCGCTAAAAGCAGCAGTTCTTAGAACTCTGAAAATCAAAATCAAAATAAATTTAAAAAAAAATTAAAACTGCACCCTAGGTATGTGAGAGTGGGCACACAAAATGGTTTGATCTGTCTCTCTGCAGCTCAGTTGCCCAGCTGTGAAAGGCAGAGAACCTCCCTTCCTTCCTGCAGGCTTTGTGAAGACAAATTGCTGTCTGTGAATTGCCCCAGGATTCACCTCAAGAGGTGATTAATAATTCTACGTTGAGAGAGAGGCTCAGCAGAGCACTGCACCACACACCGAATGCAGAGTCCAGGATGATGCGCTGCTGGGAAACTCCTTAGAGGGGCTCCGTTGTCCCTGAGCACCACAGGGAAAGGTGGTCCTGGGGCAAGGGGACAGCGCCAGATCAGGTAATTAAAAGAGTTTACTAACCTGCATGCATAGGCACAAAGAGAGGAAACAAAGATTGTTTTTATTTAACTCTACCTTCAGAATTAATTCTAGCACTTTGTAACTTTTAGATACATAACTTTGCAATTTTTATTTAAAAAAAGGTGAAGCCGTTTGTGTGTGCATGTGTAACACTATCCTAATGGATTGATGGGCAACTAATGAGAACTGCCAGAGCAAGTTGACTAATGATATAGACATTTTTTCCCTGACAGTAAAGAAATAAAAAAAGCAGGACCTGCCGTATCTCAGACAGGGGTAAACGTTTCCTTCTAGGAAGAAAAAAGGGGGAGTGGCCAGGAGCAGGTTACTGCGAAAGGTCATGCAGACCTTTCCGCTCCTAGTTGGATGGAGAGCATGCCAACATGGATAATATCAAAAAGAAAATAACAGTAGTTTAACAGCATGCTGTGCAGTAATTTCAGCAGTTCCAGTTTCTCTTTTCATCATTTATTTAAGACTGTGTCTAGACAGTGCATTACCATTCACAGAATTTATGACTAATGCCCTGAAAAGCAAAGATACCGGAATAATGTAAACACAGAAATCACCTAGAAGCCATACAAATCCTTTTACAGTTTAAAATGCTCCCAAATTAACTTTGACAGGAAAAAGAGTCAAGGTGACCACGATATTTCATGGGCAAACCTGCCCAGAGCACCCATCAACAATGTGGCATGGGCAGAGTGGAAATTCCGCAGCTAAGCTTTACAAGAGATTTACAGATTTGTTAACGTTAGATGAAATAAACTCATCAACGGCTCTCAAGCAAAAAATATCCCTAGAGATGCTTTTAAAAGGCATAGAATTACACTGGGAAAAAAACATTTAAAATGTTACTAGGATGCCTTTTTTTCCACCTGAGAAGACGGTCTTGATTTGGAGAGGTTCTGAAACACCTTGAAAATCCCGATTACTCACAGAGTTTCTTGTGCAAATGGAGACAACCATAACTAGCTAGTGACTCTTCAACATTTAGCTGGCACAGCTATTTCCTTGTACCACAGAACTAAAAAGCAATTTTCTCTGATTGCTTCACAGCCTTGTCATTTGATACATGTGTGCACACATGTATGCATATGCATGAATGTTTAAAAGACCTTACCGAGGTGACTATGCAACACTAATTAGATATACTGGAGATTTTCCCCAGCGTAGGACTGCTGCTTGGAAAATACATATGATCAACAGCCGGTCCGTTGCCAGTGTGAGAAGACTGCCTGGACATACTGTAATACACAGGTCAAATTTTGCCCTGGCTGACACTTCACAACAGCCACAGAGCCAAACAATTGCAGGACACAACAAATGAGGGATGAGGTGTATCTAATTACGCTTTCATTCCTCTTCTCTAGCAAATCATTTTAAAAACAAGTAAAACACAATGACCACTTCTGTGTTCCCATCTTTCTGTTAAAGGAATTTTTTCACTAGACACAATATTCTACTAGTAACTGTTCAGAAAATCCCTTGCAAAAATTGTTTGGAGGTTCATTTTCTAATGCTCTGAAGCAACTTAAAAGTAGGATGAACACATTGCTCTTTACAGATCCCATGACAAGACATATGGCTCATGCCCTCTCATGTCACATTATATGATCAGATGCAGGAGCAGGTTTGGGGACATTCCCATAGAACTGAGTCATCCAAGTCTTATGACTCAAAGCAAGGGCCAGGGCTGCAATAGGACCGTTCCTTTATAATCTTTTCTTACAGTATTGAAACTATGTAAATTCCCAGGACAATAACTTTAAAAGAGGAAATGGAGAAAATGCAATGTCATACTGAAAATAGGAGACAAAATTATGTACTGCACAACTTCTCTGGATGCTGGAAAAGTTTACTCCTGTCCCAGCTAATCCAAGATGTCTGTTCATCTTAAAAGCATGTGGCTTTATCCATTAAAAAAAAAAAAATGTTCCTTTTCCCCAAGAAATCCCTTCCATCTACGACTCAAGTTCTGCTCAAAATTAGCAAATTTTGTTGACAACTAGTAGCGCTGATGTGGGAAGGGGAAAAAGCTTCCATCTTGAGTTAAAAGTGAATAAGTCTTCCCAAGTAGAGTCTTGTTAAAACTCAGAAGTTAGATCAGATCCACCAAAAGGTCCACCAGTTTCCCCTCCTCCAACACAGCCCTTGGTAACCAAGGAAGCCCTGAGAATATGTGCCCTAATGTAGTTTTGATTGGGAAGCAGTTGGTACCGACTTGTCCTGAAGCCATAGATTGTTTTAAATTAACACCAAAACTGACTTTGCATCCTGGGAACTGGCCTTGCTCCAAATCAAAAGGAGATGTTATCCTAGTGCATCCTGAATTACTTTTGAGAAGAAAGCTTCTACTGTAAATGCAAGCATGCTCAGAGAACACACAGCAAGAGGCAAGGCTACATGAATTATTGCACTTGGCCACAGATAGTGGCCTGAACCAGGACACATAATGAGCCCTTGTAGGGGTAACAAGCAGGTGCCTTCTTCATGATCACCTGGAACTTCAGTGATTTTGCGATTAGGGGTGGCAAAGAGCAAGAATCAGGAGCATTAGTCTTTCATGTTTACTCCTTACTATGTTGGACTAAGTTTACTGTAGATTTTTGCAGACTCAGTGATTTCAGTGAACAGGAATCTACTGCACAGAACTGAATTAAGGCTTTCATGTCTCAGTTTAAGTGAATCCTCTTCCATCAGAAGTATTTATTTCAATTATTAACCTGATTAAAACTTACCTAAAGAGCAGTAGAGTCCAACTTGTTCATATCCTTCACAGCAATCTGTAAGAGTGATGGTTTCAGGAACTTCAACAGTATGATACTGCATTTTATAGTACGTCTGGGGACACACCATCCACGGTATCCATCCTCCACAGGAAGTGCTTTTCTCATAGGACTTTTGGTAGGCAACTATTTTAAACACATTTTTGGTCAGGCTATAGTTGCACAGATGGTACCCCAGCAAAGAGAGGCCTTTTTCTACGGAGGGAAAAAAAAACAACTAACAAACAGGAAAAAAAGGGATCAACACTAACTTGTCACCCCAGAGTATAAGCTCCCTTCAGTATCTAGTTAAATATATTGTTACAAGAAAGCAGTGACAGAATCAACATAGATGAATGATTTCCAGGAACGCTGATGTTAGGAAGAACGTCACTTCAGAAAACAGAAAGAAGAAAGAATTAGTAGTGACTGCTTGTCATAGGCATCACTTCAGTCATAAAAGGAAGCAGACTTGCAGAAAATTCTGAGTTCTCAGTGCCTTTAGGTGCAAAGTAGAAAAAGGGCAATTTAACTCAAGTAAGTAGAAAGGAAATTAATATACATTAATATAAATTAACAGTAGACCAGAACAGGCACTTCTAGGGCAGAGTCTTCCAAGTACTTTAGACATCCACTCCAGGCTCATGCTGCCGAATTGTTCATCTTTCTCTGCTGACTACGAAGGGAATAAAGGGCGAGGAACTCATTGGCAGATGAGTCAGAGCAGATGTCTGGAATAAGACATCCTTCAGACATTGCCCTAGGCTAAAACTGAGTTTTAGTCACTTCAGAAAACAGAGTTTTAGCCCAACTCATGTGTCATTGGGAAGGACTTTCAGGTATCTGACACAAAAGCTATTCCTGGAGCAACTATGTTGCCTACCTGCATTTGTAGCAGACCATATTAGACCAGGCCCTTTGAGAGTTGCTGCGGTTCGTTGACTTCAGTACAAACTAAGTCAGTGATAAGTTCATTAACTACATAATTTTACACAGGTCTAGGAACAGGATTCAGTTTCTGGAGTTCTGAAACAAGTCACGATGAGGAGCGAACTTGTCACATTCTTTACTTAAAACTGAAATACTTGAGCAGGAGCAGAAAATAAAATTAAAAAAAAACCCACAAAAACAAAAACAACCAAACACAAAGAAACCCAAACAACAACAGCAACAAAAACAGATGGAGTTTAAGAATTAGCAGTAAGCAACCCACAATCATGCCACAGACATCAGGCTGTCTCCTAATGAGACGATATAGAAGCCAGAGGGGCTGACTCACCCTGTGTCCCATTTGGGAAATAGATGGGATAGAACTAAAATGCCTATATCATCCTTTAGACAAAGCAAAAGAAGCTTTAACAAGGAAAAACATGAATTAGCTGCAGGGATTCAAGTATGATAGGATTATTTCTGAGAGCTCTGAGGGGACCAGGGCCAGTCAACAGACGGATTGAAGCTAACATAGTATACACAACAAACATACAATAAAAAATATTTACAGCTTATCTTATTTGTACAGCTTATCTCCTGCCTCAGAAGATGAAAGATGTAAAAACAATTCAAGGAAAAAAAAATTATCAGGTTCTTAGGTTCATGTGCTTTATCATGTTTAGATTTCCAACTAAAAAAAGATACATGTGCAATTTGAACAGGACTGGTAAAAGAGCTTTAAACAGGACAATTCATTTGTAACGCAAGGACAGTCCACAAGGAAGCATGGGATAGATACCATAGGCCACAATACATCTCTCAAGCTGGCTCAACCAAGTCATCCACCAAGAAGTTCTTCCTCCAGCCCTAATCCTAGCAACTGCTCGAGTGAGAACAGCCTGAAAGACATCCCCTGCTTTATATGTTCAAAAGGCCATGAAGAAAAATAGATTTGCTTGGTGCAATTCCAAAACAGAGGCACAGACACCTATCTGCGAACAAGGGCACTTTGGAAGAGCAGAAGGAAGAATGGGCTAGGACTGTCCACAGACCACTCCTAGCCTTCCCTCCTGACTATAACCCATGTCTGACCAGACCCAGCGAGGACATTGGGCCCCTGGAAGTCCAGTTCTGCTCTGCCTAACTCATCTGTGTCTTCACTCTGCAGCAAAAGGCAGAATTAGATGCCAGGGCATGTTACAGAGCAAGTATGTGAGAGGAAGACACCTCCCAGCAGGCTCCAGGGGGCCCTGTGCTGTTCCTTAGAGCAGGTCAGCAGGAAAATATCAAGAATAAGGGCATATCTGAAAATATCACTCCCTGCTTCTGCCTCCTCCCCAGCCTCAAGCAGGGCACCTCTGTGTCCAGTCCCTGAAGCTAGCTCCAGAGACAGCAGCTGAAAGTCCTTTGCATCACTAAAAAGCACCAGGGCTGTTACTTATCCTTAAGAAGAGAGTGAAAGGAGATGATCATGAGGGGCAGGAAGGAAGACACTCAGCCTGTCTCAAGCCAAGAGGCTGAAACCCATACCCTGCCTGACCCAGGAGAGGACCTCAATGGCTGAGATAGAGGTCTGACCAGGACCATGAAAGCCCATACCCAGCTGTTGCACGTAGGCTGCCATGCAGGAGGGAACTGAAAGTGAAGTGAGCCAGAGAAAGTAAGGTGGCCTCTCTCCCCTGGCTAACTTTAGGATATCCCTCTGGGAGAGGGGGAAAGAGAATAAATGTGAGTTCTGGAGCAGAAATCAGAGACCAAGGGCTGCTTTTTATCCAACGCATTTGATCAATTACCACTTCACATAAGTCACTATGTGCCTTACAAGAAACAGTTAGCTGTCCTTGCATTCTGTAAAGCATTCCCTTGCCATGTGCTAGGAGTGCTCCAAGAATACCTACCCCAGAAAGTGCTTCTAGACATGTAGGCATGAAAAAAAAAAAAAAAAAACCCACACCAAAAACCCCTCGTTTCCTGCCTTTCATTATTTTGGGACTTGAATGGCTAAAATGGGGTGGAAAGAGTATCTAAAGCATTTTGGATCTAGACTTTATCTGGAGAAAGTGCACAAACATCTGTTGGTGATCAGCGAAGGTGGGAGCAGCAGGACAACTTCTTCCCTACGGAAATAAGAAACTATTGCACTAAGGAATCATACTGTTATAGTATAAAATGATATTAGAGAGGGTAGAGCAGATAAGGAAGAACAGTTCAGCCTGGTTCCTTATCACTATGATCCCTCCATTTCTCCAGAGCTCATGTATTAGCATGGCTAGAGCAAAGCAGGAACTGGAGGAGAACAACCGAGTACAGAGAGCACTGAAGATTCGTGCTGTCTGTGCAGAGCTGCGGCTGTGGCAATGACGTAGCACTGGAAAGCTAGAAATTCCAGAGTCAGCTGAGCTGGATTAGGCTCTACAGCAATGTGCAACATAAATACAGGTATGAAACTGAGAATAAAACAGTATAGAATTAGACACAGTTTATAATTAGAAGCTTCAGCTGTCAGAGCAGATATGAAATCATACTTAAACATTGATACTAGGTGTAGAATGAAGCTGCCAAAGCCAAAAGAGAAAGTTTGAGATATAACTATGGTGGTACAAAAAGATACCCTCACTGGAAGAGGTTAGCCTGAAGGTGACGGGGAAAGGTGCAGCACCACCAATGTTACCATCGTCCATCAATTCCATCCAGTTTAATACAAGCTTTGACACTCACAGCGTTCAATTATTTGCTGACAGCAGTTTCCTGATGAGCAACGTGGCTTAGATCAATTCGGGCTCTTTAGCAAATTGGCTTTCTGTTCTCATTAACCACCATCTGTGGGATTATGGCACTATCGAATGGAATTAAAATGCACTGGCCGTTGTTTCCAGCAACACAAAGCTGAAGTCAATAGCAAAGCAGGAGAAGGTGGTCATCTGACATTAATAGTGCTACATTACACCTATCATCTCTGGACTTTAGGTCTTTATCCTAGCAACCACCAGCTTTCAGCACTGCCAGAGAAAATATAAATTTTATTATGTTAAGCAAGAGCAGAAACAATTAAAGCAAATACTTTATTAATAGAAACAAATACTAAGAGGAAAGGCTGAAAGGGAAGTCTGCATCAGGAGCAGGCTGCTTAGAATTCAAGGTCAAACCCAGATCGGATCTGAGAGCATGATTAAAAAATCAGCAATAAAAAATGCTTGATAGAATTTATGCCACAGAGTTGGCTGCAATTCTAGAAACTTCACTGCTCAAGTGCCAGAACCGCCACCGTGAGCTGGGATCTGCAAAATCTTTTCTCACTGGAGAACAGCAAGAGCCAAAGACAAGCCCCTTTCTTGTCTTGACGTAACCTTAAAAATAATCTGTTGGAACAGGTTCACAGAGGGCAGATTCAAACTCAGCTTTAATATGCAAAGGCTCTGAAACATGAAGAAAAATGGATTAAGGGCTCAACTTTTCCAGAGTATTCCAAATCCTTTTTAAAGTCACTGCCACTGACTTTAAATGGCACTAGAAGAGTTCTGCTGACTCCTAATCTGCAGCAGACTCTTTTTTAAATGTGACTGACAGAGTAACAGCAAAGTCTGCAAGGCTTTAAAAAATATGGTTTGTATTTCAACTGAGACTTGCAAAACCACTTAAGTAAAAAAATGCTACAAAAAGCAGCCAAAAATCACGATGCTTTCTCATCTGAATAAAACAAACCAGAAATTAAGAGCAAATTAGGATTTAATTTAGCAGTTACAACCTAGCAATTGGGATAGTTTTTTAACAAATTACACCCTATACCATAGATGAAAGTTAAACATATCTTCTACAGCTGCATTTTACACACCTCTAAGAATTCACCAGATACATTACCATATAATTTCCTCCAAAAGTGTATTTTAAAGACAATTTTCATAAAAATTTACACATTACTGAACACAGCGGTGATCCTATCCATTCACTTCTGGCACAAAGGGGATGAAGAGTTGGGGACAAAGGTTATATTTTGGCTTAGCGAGATTTTATTTGTTTATTTATCAACAGAGGATTCTTAAAAGGTCACTGAGCCATTGCCAGTTCTCCAGAGAGTGGCCACCTTGGCGAGTTTATTTAAAATAAAGAGATATCCCACATCCAATGTAAGCTGTCCTACATAACAGCTGTGGTCCTCTGACCAGGTTTGCATCACTTACCTGTAATTTCATTTCCCTTTCCCTGCTGTGTGGCTGCCCAGAGGACGAGAATAGAAATAAGGGTGATCTTGGCCACTGTACCGCCCATCCTAGATAAGCAGTTCTCACCACTTCGTTCCTAAGGTGGTGGAGCTCAATCGTCCTTACATGCAGCCTTTTCGATTAGGGGAAAAGGTGCTCTGGTTTTTTACCTTTTGCAGGTGGGTGATAACTACAGGCAACAGAAACAAAGAGGCTCCGGTGGGAATTTTGCCAGTTCTCTCTCCTTCGCAGTCTCCCCAGGGAACCTGCCTCTTCTGCCTGCTCAGCTTGGCTCCCCCATCACGTGCCTTTGAGAAAAAGGCATTTCAAAATTGCTGGTTTAGTCCATGTTTATCCTTCTGAATACTTATTCCCTCTCACACCTTGAACACCTGACAGCTAGGAGCCAGATTTACATTCCTTGAATGTCCACACATCAGGTGATACTATTTTTTAGGTCTTTAATTCTGAACCTTGAAAACAAAAAAAGAGTAAAAGCAAATGTCTATGTCAATGTTTTTTTTCCTGAATTTAAGCTGTTTCACTAGTTGCCTTCATTGTGCTCCTCATTTCATTGCAATTTCAGCGCCACATAAACCAGAGCAATGCTAGGCAAACAAGAACCTTATTAGGCAGGGCATGAATCTGGACATTTGAGAAACCAAAATCCCTTTCTTTTCATTGTGTAAATCATGACGGCATGTTCCCAAGACAGATGTGCCTGCAGCTTTACAGTACAGGACAACAACGTCGGTACAACATCAATTGGCTTATGTAAAGAAAATGAGTAAACACAATACGAACTTTTATGAGGAGCTGGCACTGAAGAATGGAGAATCACAGGTACGGTTCTTGGAGCTGAGGCAATATGTTCAGACCAGCAGTTAAATACATGTAACAGCACTGCAGACAATTTCATGTGGATGAAAGAGCCAGATGTAAGGGAGTATGTTCAATATCAGTAATATCACTTCTGTAAAAATACTGTCAGGCAATCACCGTGTTAGCGCTCACAAAGTAAGAGAGCCGAGGCCCTGGAGAACATGCAAGGACAACAGGGGAGTAGCTGGATGGTTCAGATCCTCTGGCAGATGGCAGAGCCAGGGCTCCATGTAGGGTCAAGGCACTTCTGAGCTGTTCTTCTGGCCTGGAAAATAAAATATCAAGCTCATCTGGGGGAAAAAGAAAAAAAGGAAAAAAAAAAAAGGAAAATTAAGGCTTGCCCAAACTTCAGCTGAAAAATGCTTTTGCAGAAAATGGAAAAATGGGTAAAGGAGAACATTTCAACCAAAGACACAAAAGCCAAAATATATTCTGGTTTGGAAACATTTCTGTTATGTCTAAGGAGAATGTATACCTTACCATCCCTTCTCCTGCATGCACCAGGATGTCTAGTCAGGCTCTATCCCCTAAGTGCACCATTTAAATTTCCTGTCAGCACAGGGAGGCAACAGGGAGACCCTGGCTGTAGATGGTGCACAGAAGATGTCACCTGACTTAAAATGCCATCTAATAAATAGGGGGAAAAAAAAAATGAGGACTTGAGCCCATGAAGTTCAATTTGCAAATAGAAATGTTTCTCTTTGTGGTCTATTTTTTTTTCCAACAATCTAAATTTTCTGGAAAAAATATCTTGATCAAAATTTTTCAGCTAGCACTAACAAAAAAGATCTATAGACCTTAGAAATGACTTGGCACCTTCTGCAAGAAGAGTATGTCCTGAACAAATTGAAATATAGGTAATTCCAGACTGGCATCTGAATTCGATTGCATTTGGGGTCTCCCACTTACAATCCTAAATTGCTGGATAGGGTTGCCATATGTCTTAAACAGCTGCTGCTTTCCAGAGTTAGCTATGAAGCAAATGTCATCATCTTCATTGCTGAGGACTTCTATGACTGAAGTATAATCCTCCAAATTGCAATAAAGGATGAATATCCCCATTCTAAAATATTTAGGCATACATGCTCATGTTTAGGGCTACCAAAAAAACATGGATAAAACTTTGCATATTTACAGCCCAATCTTTTAGCTGGCAGCTGGAGCAGGCCTATGTTCAGAGTGAGGCAACGAACAGTGAATTGCAACTTCATTGCAGTAGTGAATGGAACAGTTCCTAAATACAGACTAAGCAGAATGCCCTTTTCAAACAAAACTGTAAGTGAAGTCAGTGAGTGTTTAATCTAAACAAGAAATGGGTACAGAAGTTGTGTATTTCAGGATTTACTTTGTAATTTGCAAATTATTTCAGGTTCTGATTAATATCTGCACTGTTTCTCCAGTTACAATCACTTAGGCACCTAGCAAATTAGTTTTTTAGCAAAGCAGATGTTGCAAGAGACCACCCAGGCAATTAAGCCTGCATCCTATGTCCTATACAACCATTTTCACATCTTCCAGACATATTCTTGCACTGCATTAACTGCAGAAAGTTTAAGATGATGCCCTGCATCCCAGGCAGTGGCACATGCTCTTCATATTACTGCCGTTGCTGTAATGAGTTGCACTTAACTCAGCACAAGATAATATAGTGTTTCCTGCAGGGAAACTAGATGGATTCATCAATCATTTTGGAAAACTGACTACCTGTACGGGCATGGCTGATTACCTAAAATTAGATTTTTCGTAGCCATTGGTGTATTTCATAGGTAAAGTTTTGGTCTTTTTCCCCTTGTTTCTTTGCACTGGGTGTTATCTTAGGAACCCAGCGCAAAATTTGCTCACTTCTGCTTTGGTGGTGAGGAAGGTCAATAGAGAGGAATGGAGGAGGAGATGTTTAGTGGAATAAAAGCCCTGGCTGTGTGGTGCTGGTAGTGAGCTGGAGTGCACTCTGGAAGGAGCTCATCATAGTCCTCCTGGCCCAGTCATCTGGAGCTAATCAGTTCTCCTGGCTCTGTTGTTTGTATTTCCTGCAGTTACATTTGTAAGGTTTGAATTGATCTAAAGTATGCAATTTACACAACAAAGGGCTATGCCAACAAAAGTGGCATCAAAATCCATTCATGGGTAATTTTGTAGGATAAAGAAGCAGATTTTTAGAGATGGGATTTGACTTTCCTAGACTGTACTATCAGTAATTGGAATATTGTGGCTGACAGCAAGTTTCTCATCATGCTTTCTGGGCATTTATTTCTTTAGATGGATTCACTTTAGATTTAATTAGTCACTTAGAAGATCCTGATCTTCTTTAGGCTACGAGTTCAACACAGAAGGGTTAGTGGCTGGAACATTTCTTTTGGCTTTGCATTATTTCGTCTATGAAGTAATCATTATTTCAGATGCCCAAAATTGTCATAACGTTTCAAGATAGACTGGTTTGTCTGCAGGAAACAGGGCTGTGCATTTGGGCTCCATGGGAATCTAACAAAAGCTGCTCTGTGCTCCAGAAGCCAGCATGCCATCCTGCAGGTGTACAGGACCTAAAGTTGGAGTACCATTACATCGTTTAACCTGTCATCTCAAAATGAGCTGTCAGTAAATTTCTCCCAGACACCTCTTCCAGACTCACGTCGTTTTAATCTGATTACAGCCTGTCAGCCTGAGAAAGCTCAGACTATGGCCACAGCAGACTGTGGGAATGGATGGAGGTGCCACCAGTCTGGAGGATCTCACAGTGGAAATAAACTGATCCAGGTCAGGAATGTGCAGGTGAAATCGTGCCACCAGCTGCCAATGAAGGGGACAAGAAGTTCAGATGGACCTGATTTCCATCTGATTTCTGCCCTGCGAATGTGTTGCCTGGTGCCTGTGACTCCCACATGAATTTTGTCTCATCATCAGGGCAATTTTTAAAACTGCCCCTGCTGTGACATTTCAGATGTTTGTTAAAGGTTGAGCTAAAAACAGTCTTTCCCTTAGTGGAGCATTGCTGAAGTTTCTTTCCTCTTCCCTCCTGATCTTTGCGAAGCCTGCAGGAACTTAATTTTCTTTGAGCCTGCAGCTGATCTGTCAAACCGGCTTACATTGGTCAGCAAGGCCAAAAGGTGTTAGAAGAGAGGAACAGGCTGACTTAGCCAGAAGTAACTTTTCTGCAGCTAAAGACAAAACAAAATAAAACACTCCTGCCATCAGGATACAAACTTATTCTGACTTCTGAAAATCAATACATATAAGGGACACCTTAACATCCACTGCCCACTGAGGGCTGAACTCAGAAACTGTAACTATTCAGGGCTCAGATTTAAAATGCTACTCCACGATTCTGGGGACTTCATGGCTCCCTGCTATGGACCTCTTGTGCAGCCACGAGCAAGTCACATAGGTCAAATTTGCCAGTGCAATGAAGTCACGGGGGGGGCAGAAAGCCCAGTATTTTAGACCTTGTGAAAGACATGGCTACAATACTATAAATATGCTTTTGTTTATGTTACCTGAGAAAAAAGTAGAATGGAAAAAGTGCTGTTTTGCCAGCATATGCTAGGCCTATGTTAGGATGGAAAACAGCTAAACTGGCAATTTTTCGAAGGGGTCCTTGTCTCCCTGAGCTTCAGATGCATATCCAAAAAGTGGAATAGTAACACTTGCGTATTTCACTGGTGTGTTTCATGCATTAAAGATGAAGGGACATGCACAAACGACAGTAAAAAAAACATTTACTTAAAGCCCTAAGAGTTAATTAGCTCAACTGTGCAGGCAGAAGAGTCCCTGACTATGTTCAGTGATTTGCTCTGTCTCACCGACAAACTGTTCCTCAGGAAAATCTGCGGGTTTTGTTTTTTCCCTGAACATGCACAAACTGTTTTAAAGTGACTCATGAGGAAAAAGTTCTTATTGGTAACAGGAGGAAAAAATATGAGTCAGGCAGAGGTCATGCTGAACCTCTGCCTGGCCTTGCTCCTCCGACTGAGCACTGGTTGTGCAATCTCACCACAGAGAAGCTCTTGTTTGCTCCAGTGCTTTGATGGCCTGGTCCTATTCCCAATGCTGAGCTTGGTACCATATGAGACTGTTGATCACACCTCATACATGATTTAGCAGTACTGCAAGGAAGTAAATCCCATCTAAGACATTTCGTAGTGTGCTTCTTGTTCGTAACTCTAAACCCAGGCATTTTTGAAAGGAAGCAGT